AAGGCAGACAGAGAACCTCGGTAGCAACCTATTAGCGGCGCTAGATTTACATTTGTAGTATCTCATGATTGTAGAAGGAGAGTCAAATTTGTGGCGCACAGTGGCTCTGGTGAGCTTGCTCTTAAGAAAACAGGGTATCCATGGTTGGGGGACACAAAGTCTGAAATCCACATTTAAGAAGGCTAATGGGAATGCCAGATCATCTTTCCAAGAGTTCAAAACATTTGATTATTATTGGCTAACAACAAGATGCTAGCGTGTTTCGGGGGCTGTGACACTTCCCCTTCATTAGGGTTCAGAGTTTGTGTGAGCTTGAAATTCAGGAACCTAGTTTGGGTATTGGAAGAGGTAGACAGGATGACAGAATTCAGAAGCATGGCTTTCTTTCTTCTCCTATTAATATCCAAAATGGCACTAGACAGGGATGCCCCTTATCCCCAATGCTATATGTTTTAGCCATGGAACATCTGGCTGTAGCAATTCGGGAAAATACATCAATTAAGGGGGTCCATGTCCAAGGGGACCAATATAAATTAGGACTTTATGCAGATGATGTACTATTATATATAACAAATCCAAGAATAGGGTTTCCATCATTGCTAGAAGAATTTCGTAAATTTGGGTTGGCTAGTAACTTTAAAGTTAATCTCCAAAAGACAGAGGTATTAAACGTAACACTATCTGACGAGGAAGTTTCCCACCTGATTGACAGCTTTCCATTCAGGTGGCAGACCTCAGCCATAAGATATCTGGGGATACTTCTCCCTAAAGACTTAGCGGAACTCTATGACCTTAATTACAGGCCTCTGCTACAGTCCTCTATCCTACAAATGAAGAGGTGGACATCCTATAAACACTCTTGGATGGGTAGAATAGCACTTTATAAAATGGATATACTTCCACGTTTTTTATATCTTTTTCAAACCTTACCTATAGAATTGCCAGCCTCCTTCTTTTGGGGAGGGGGGGTAAATATAGATATATAAAGGAATTATATCAAAGTATGCAGTCATAATGAGCGAGAATAACATTATAAGAGATATAATATGATATCCAGGATGCAAGTGCATTTATAAAGACGCGTAGACATGTATAAGGGGGAAATATGCACGAGTACAGGGATATATGTAAATGGCTGCTTACTTACTGTTTATAAGCTGATACTTATGATAAATCAATAAAAAATGTTATTATTCTAGAATTCAGAAGCAGTCATTTAGCAGCTAATTCAAGTAGCATGACCAAAAAGAACAGGTAGGAGATAGGACAGTGGCCCAACAGCAAACACCAACTGTTTTTATTTTTTTGTGTCACCGAGGGCTCAATGTAATGCAGAAAGGCAATGTGTAAAACATTTTTTAGTTTCAGTGTCAGCATTTTGGTGTTGCTTCTTTTTGGGGTTAGAGACTGGGAGAAATTGGATGGCCTGATACTTTTGGTTATGACTAGGTCAGTATGGATTTTAATGGGTTCATTTAGTGTTAGGTTAAAGTAAGAGTTGGATCATAGGTTAAGAGTTGCATTGAAGCAGAACTCTAGCAAAACGTCTAGCAAACCTTTATTAAAAAATTGCTTCATTGGACAATAGATGTGCTTTGAGGGTATCAATTTACTTCTAATACGGATGAAAAGGAGAAATCTAAATGTGTAAAAGTTCATTTATCCAACTTATATATATGTAGTTTGGCAAGGAGCCATCTTGTTTATTCCAACGCGGACAGTGTTGTTGATAGGACATTACTAAATAAGATAAATGAGCAAGACAACCGCTGAGTGACAACATCGTCATTTTGACAGTCCAGATAAAACTTTTGCCGCGGCTAACACTGAATGTTTATAAGGTTGTTTTAGTTAAAGGGGCTGTCCAAGGTTAATAAAAACCGTACATCAGCGTCTGCCTTTTCCATAATAGATAGTAACATAAAGGGATCCTGCTTTTCAACCCTTGCTGGAAAGTTATTACACAACCTTCATCTCGCAGCTGTCAATATTTACAAGCAATTTGTGCGTAGCTATTCCATTGATACTCACCTTTGCCGCACTCCACTGACACGATTCAACACGGCAGAGCTTGCACAGAGTTTGGACTCCCAGCTCCAGGGGAACATAGGGGCAGGGGGGTGCAGAGGGTGGTGAGTATAAGTGGGTGTGGGGGGTGGGTGGGTTGTTTTTTCAAGAGAATATATCTCTCTTCCCAGAATAAGCAAAGTGAGAGAGTATCTTTAAAGTGGAACTACACCCTCCTACCCTTTACAGCAATGGAAGGCACCATCTCAGCTTCTATTTGGATTGCACTTGTCATGGTGTTGCGCATGTGATCAGCTATGACACCTGCCATTTGAGGACTTGAAATTTCAGAGAGCTTAAATAAGCACAATAGCAACCTGTCTCCCCTGAGCTTGGGGCTTATAACTGACAGTCTGTTTTAAATACTGGAGGAGGGTAAATCTCTCAATAGCAAAATATTTAGCTTTTTTCATGTAATTCTGACAAACACCCTTGTTTTATGACAGCTTTATGTGTGTCTGTCATCAGCACTGAACTAAGGCAGAATACAGGACACACTTACAGTCTGATACTCTGACAGGGAGAGAATACAAGTAAGTAATACAAAAATTAGTAATCCCAGAGAGGTAAGACTCCACTATTATAACAATTCAAGAATGGAGATTATGATCATTAAAAATGCCCATCAGTGACTGGTTCTTTTAAACGTAAAGATAAATTAATTTTTAATACCACAACCCTCCCCGTCAGTTCCCCTAACCTCCTGAAGTACCCCAAGCATTTTTTATTTTAAATCTTTGTTTTCATATCTTTAGGCAGGTGTCTTCAACCCCATCACATGGTATTTTGGGGCCTCACTTTCTCATCTGTTTTCTGATAAATCAGCTGTGAGCACAGCTGAGGGGGGGCTCACTCCAAGGGTTAAGAATATTTATCCTCAGGGTTCTTCAACATTTCTGTATATGTCAGCAATCAGGTGATAGTTTCTGCGTGTATATCTAAAAAAAACATTAAAAAGGCTGTAGCTTTCCTTTAACAGAATTTAAACGTATTTGTGTGAAGCATTGCTCACAGGAATACAATAAAACACAGTATAAAACAAAGTGCTTCTAGGATATAATGACAAAGTTATTGCAGTATATCACAACCTATCCTAGAAAATCTGCCTTCAAGACTTTGGTGCCCTCAATCTAATTCCCTCTCTTAACATCGCTGTGCCGCTTAGCAAAAAAATGTCAGATAATCTGTCAACTTCCATAGCCAAACGTATCCTGTTTACCCCCCCCCCCCCAACCCTACATTCCCTTTCTTGAGAATAAGAAAATCAATTCAGTATAGAGGACTAGTTAAGCAGATTGATAGCAAGGTATATTTGTACCAGGAGAAAACCACACTAAATTATTTTCCCCAGACAATTTTAGTGATGTTGAGTCACCCTGTTTTTCTCCAAATCATAAATATATTTTATGGGGAAAAATTGTGGAGACGTAACCTGTATTTCATCTTTTACATGTGATAAAGTCCAAGGTTTGGACCTGTCAAGGACTAATTCCGCTATCATTTGCTATAGCAAAATGGCCACATTTTTCATCTACGTGGCTCAGGTGCTGCACTTAAGAGGAGGAATAACCATACACAACGCACTTATATGTGTCATGGGATGTTTGTTAACTTCACATTTAAAGAATCCAAATGTATAAAAGCTGCAGAAAAATAACAATTAACCCTCGAAGACTATTAGCTTGATTTGTAACAGAGAGCAAAGTTGAAATGTACTCATGCGTTTGACTAAACTGCATTTCTTTCCTTTGCACAAAAAAAGAAGAATTACAAATTGAATATTAATCTGGGGAATTGGTGCTGCTCTGTGCCAAACATTACCTGAGTAGTAGCCCCCCATCATAATTCTAAATAATGTAAGTTGAAAACTAGAGGTCCACTGAATGAAAATTTTAAATCCGAAACAAAACAAAAATCAAACCGAAAAAAAAATTTCTAACTTTTTCAAATTTAAAAAAATGTTTTATAAACTTTTACATTTGTATATATTTTATTTTTATTTATTTATTGATTTTTATTAAATATTTTAATTGTTTACTTTACTTTTAGGGGCTTCGGGGAAATACTAGGGATCTAAACAGACCCCTGACATTTCCCTTTTCAAATAGAAAAAGAGATTGAGAACACAGAGTCCTCAATCACTTTTTCTGCAGCCCCAGTTATAAATGAACAGGAAGCCTCTATACTGAGTGTTCCAGTTCATTTATAACATGTGGATATAGTGTGTTTACTATAACCACAATCATGAATGAACAGAAGGTGATGTAGATCACTCCCATTCATCCATAATTGAGGATATAGTAACCATGCTTTGTCCTCAATTATTTACGAACACTCAGCGGTCACTGATCGCTGAATGTTTGTACCTCGCTCTCCATCCTGACAGCTGTCACAGGAGGCTGAGCGAGCAGTGCAGGGAGAAGAGCTCAGCCTCCTGTGACAGCACTGGCTGCCTCCGCACACACACCGATCATCTGATATGTGACAGGAGGCTGAGCGGTGTGGGAGGAGAGATGCCGGCCGCTCACAGCGCTCTCTTCCCGCATCGCTCGGCTGCCTGTAACACTTTCTCTCTTCCCGCTGGAAAGGAGATAAAGCAGAGATGCACCGCTATATCAGCAGAAAATTGGCGCTTTCGGCATTTAGCCAAAAGTGCCATTTTTGGCTGATATGTTTCGGCGGCCGATATATCGGTGCATCCCTATTGAAAACATCTGAAGAGCCCAGCCCACCCGAAAGAGGATAATACATTGGTAAAGACTGCAGATAATCTCTATAGGAAGAGGAACAGACATATAATACACCAGGCATATATTACCATCAAAGCATTTGAGGGTCAAAAATATCAAGCAAGTAATTTACTTCATTGATGTCCATGTAAAACCAACTCAACAGTTTTGGTTGGAGACAACCTTAAAATAACAAAAACTTACCACTGACGTGGCTGGTATCATGAAACAGAGCACTGACTGTAGATGTATTAGAATTGTTCTCTGGAATTGCTTCCAAAATGTAGCGCTCAGTTACTCCTCTGATCCCAGCTGGTCTGTCCCAGGTCACCTCGATGCCGTGTCCGCTTACACCGAGAACTCTTATGGGAGTTTGCCCATTCACTGGAACTGGAGGTATACAATGCAGAAAAATTAAGACAGATACCAGCACACAAAGATTGAAATCAATATTTTGCTCAATTTTGAAAGGCTTCTTTTGCAATAAAATATTTTGTTCCATTTTATTTACAGATCAGGACATTTATTAGGCAAATTAGAAACATGATTAGAAGCCAATCAGGCGGTCTTTTATTTAGCAAAGTCTAAGGGGTTCATTAATAAAAGTTTTACTTTCAGAAGCCCCTAGATGGTGCTGATGAGTATAGAAATTTGTCAGTGCCATCTAGGGGTGCTAGTACCGTGCAAACACCATCTGCCTGGCTATATGCCAAGTGGAACTTTGATAAATGAACCCCTAAGTGTCTGGTTAGGAGTGCCCAGTACAAACTTCCATCTCACTTTCAAGCCATTTAAAATCTTTATTCATTAGGAACAACAGATGCAGCCAACGCATTTCAGGGAAGGACTACCCTGTCTTTAAGGATTGAACAATGATTTGCAATGTAATCAGAATTAAATTATGTATAAAGCCTGAACTGAGGCTGGATTGAGACAAGTGTGTTCTAACATACACATGTATACAACTGGTTGGATCAAACCTAGGTTATAACCAGCTTTTAATCCAATATCATCCTGATTGCATTAAAAATTGTTGTCCAAGCCCTGAAGAAGGGGGAGCCCTTACCCCTGGAATGTGTTGGCTGTATCTGTTGTTCCTAACAAATAACGATTTTGGATTACCGCAGCAGCCGATGCACAGAATTAGTTCCTGACCTCTACCAAAGAACTAAGCTCTGGTGAATGCATTTGAATTAATCTCCATCTTCACTGGTCCAGCGCTATCACACACCTACCAGAATTTAATTTAACATAGTTCATTCAACAGTTTTTCTGTGTATTTGTGACCCATCTGAAATATTGGGCAGTCAACTGAGATAAATTTGCATAGTTCTGAGATAGATTTAGCAAAGAAGATGAAACAACTTTTTTTTACTTCAAAAAGACGCACGATTTAGAAGTTGCTAGAATCAGGGAAATATGAGAGGTGGGCTTCTAAAAAAGTTAGGCCCGGCACAAAAAAGACAAAATAATAAGAGCAGGGCCTCCATGACAGGATGGGCATGGGAGACAGGGAAACAAAGGGGTTAAAGGTTTGATCAATTGTTTTAAATAGGTAACTTAGTTTATTGGTTGAGGAGTGGTTCCGGGTTGGCGTTTCATGTATGGGCTCAGGAGGTGGAGAGGTTTCTTCATCAGTCGGGAGCTGACCACACTGTGAATGCACTTTCCACAGACCCACCCTGTATAATGTTCTGGTTTGTTTTTTCTTGGGGGTTTTTTAAGGGTGTGTGGAAGGGATCAGGGAAGGCAGTACATTTTTTGCTGGTTAGAGTGTTTTTGGGGGAACCCGTCTCTAGTTTGGAGTCCTTGATTTCTTCTTAGTCAACTAAAGTGGACCTACAGTTATCTTATGGGGTTGGTCTCTGCGGCAAGCCATAAGTTGTCCCCAAGGCAGTGTGTTGCAGCTGGGGGCCTAGTTAGTTCATGCGATCCGCAGAGACTGAGCAGAGTTGGTGGTGTGCCTTCTTAGACCAGCAACCTTATATGCTCTGTCAGTTTGTATTTATCATTGTACTTTTCAGTAAAGGGGCTGCTACAGCCATTTGACAAACTTGGTTTATCTAGTTATTTTCGGGAATAAATATTTGCAGGTCTAAGGGGAGGTGGTTGGCATAGCAGGTCCTTAGTGATGTAGACTGGGACATATGGCCTAACCTCGTCATGTTAGTTTCCTGGCTCCAAAAATTTTGATGCAACAGGATTAGTGTGAAAGCCAAGCAACCAGCATTTTCAGAAGTTGAACCGCATTTATCTCATTATAGGTTTGCCCCAACCAAATTTTACATCTATTAATGACTCAACAAAATAAATCTGGTTGAGGACTTATTTATTTATTAATGCACTAAATTGTTATATTCAGTTTCGTGAACCTAGGTTGAAGGTGTGTTCACAAAGCTAACACACCTTACTTTCACAAAGTTGCCAGTAATTTTCAGCCGAGTTTATTGACATTTGGAAATTCACACTGCTGACTCGGCCACCACAAATAGTAATTAGGCACTCCTAGAAGAGGAGAGGACTTTGATGTGATGAACTGTGCTAGGAAATTGGCTCATCCTAAAGGAGTCAAGTTTGCCAAAACGTTCCAAGGCACATTGCAAGTGAATAAAAAATAGTTTATGAATAAGGAAAAACACTGCAAGAAAGCATTAAACATACTTGATGTTTCTATACACTTACCTGCAATTAATTAAGGTTAGAGTCAGGGTCTCCTTAAAGCTTTGTTAATTAAGTCTATGGGATAGATTTTGCCTAAGATCTCTGCATTTAGAAAAAAAATTGTGTTTTACCACTTGTTACTGCACAAAACTAGGTGCAGTACGTTACAGTGCCATTTATTATGAATGGCAACCAAACAAACAACAACACATATGCTGCCTTAAACAAAATGTTGCAGGTCCATTTAAAGCTGCCAAGTGGAGTACTGGCATCTTATTCAGGCATTGTGTTACTGCAATGCATGTTAAAGCATCATATACCACATGTTAACAAACATGCGGTAATGCACCACAACAGTCTGAATGCAGCCTGATTTCAGGTGTTGTCCGGTCTCATATGCTTACAAACACAGCAATGTCTGAAAAGCAAAAGAATTAGGTATATTTTACGCTTTCTATACACACATGGCACTGTAATACTTTGTGCATATCAAAACACAAAAGCGCTTGAAACCAGCCATTGTTGATCTTCCTAGTTTAATTTTTCATGTATTGAATGTCTTTAAATCCAATTAAAGAGCAAAGTCGAGGCATGGAACATGAGAAATATGGATACATTAATGAGTTTGCAACCTCGAATTTAGCTTAATCTCTTATGCAAGCCCTTCGCATAGAAATTCATTTTTAATCAACGCAGATGAAAAAAAAAAAAGGAGTATAGAAAATGAAGATATTTAAAGAGAAGACGAACAGAGAACGGTATATCCCTCCGTTTGCTAATAAAAAAAAGCCATCAATTTCACATAACCTTTAACTATTTATTAGACATCACAATACCATGAGAAAGGTCTGCTTGGAAAGAGCTTCATCATGGGTGATGGAGGAAAAACCAAAGTATTTCTGGAAAGATTATGGAAGAGCAGTTTGTGGTGAATGCACGCTCAGGTTTTTGCAGTAAGTCCATATGAAGCGCAACTATACTGTACAGTAGCTCCTAGGAACCAATCAGAAAAATTCCCACTTCTACACTTTATCTTTTATTCCTGGAGATCTACTTATAATGAGCATTTCTTTTCTGTCTTTCTGATCTTTCCATGGGCACCCTGAGAAGATAGCCTGTGCTGCTTAGCTGGGGTGTCAGGATGGTGTGCAAAGCGCTCCAACCGCGCTGCTGCGTCCTTAAGTTTCTCCCCAGCAGCTTTGCTTGGGGTCCGGAGCGCAGCCTGTGTGCCGCCGCCGCCATCTTGGATCGCCGGGCAGCCTTGCCTACCCTCCTTCTTTTTGGACATCGTTGTGGATAAAGGCGCCCACCCTGTGACCCCGAGAGACAGGAGGACTAGTCCCACAAGCCGACGAGGAGCAGGATATCGGCAAGGTAAGCCAGAGGATGAAAATCAGGAGAATGAAGGAGAGCTCTTCCCTGTCACGTCCGTCTACATGCGGCTGCTGGCCACGCCCGGTCTTTCTGATCTTTACCCAAACCTTTTCCAGGAACATCGACAATTATTATGATGCCATTGGCTGTTCTTGCAATTTGCTGGCAACATTTTTGCAACTGGATAAATGGCTACAAAAATTACTGGAGTGACACTAAACTCAGGAGTCAAATCTTTAAAGTGCATTGTAGTACCTTAACTCTTAACAAAGAGGTATATTTTTTGTGTATCACTCGGCTGTAGATCCTCAAATCATCTCTGAATTGGTGCTGACACTGTCCTTCCTTCAAGAGGGTGGATACTTTTGTTCCCCATAATCCCTGTGGGTGTTGTAAAGTAGTGACCTCACTCCAAACTCATTCCCGTGCTGGACTACAATCTCACATTTGGTTTACTAATTTGTATTAAGATTGTAGTCCATCACAGGAGTGAGCTTGGAGTGGTGGATATTTTACCATGGGCAACAAAAGTTGTCACCCCCCAGAAGGAAGGACAGTGTCCACACAAATCCAGAGATGATTTGAGGATCTACAGCTGAGTGATACACAAATAAAATACACTTTTGTTCATATTTAAGGTACTTAAATGCATTTTTAAGGTTTAATTTCTGAGTTTAGTGTCACTTCAAATGTATAAACGAAAAACGAGGCTTCCAGAATTTGATGTTTACAGGTAGCCCTCTTTGTGTTGCTTTACTAAAGCCTGACTCTGGACAAAAAATCTAATTTAAATGTATTCTTCAGTAGCCACAAGGAATATTAATCTACTAGTGTGCACCAAATTCACTGCCAAGTAAGCTCTTGTGAGTCTGTGCTGGGAGCCACTATAGAGGCAGCTCATGTAGCAGAAGGGAAGAGGAGCAGCAGAGAGGGTCCAGAGGTCCTGGAATCTGACACTCCCAGAAGTGTTGGATTACCTTCAGATTTTCAATGCTGATATTAAAACTCTGACAGATACTTTTACAAATAGGTGCTTTGTTGTGGCGACCGGGTCTCTTTTTAAAGTTAACCTGCTGCTTTGTCCTGCATGAGTATATGAAGGATGAGAATGGTAACCCCAACAATTGCATCTTTATAAATAAGTATGCAAATAAGTTCCATGGTTCCCTAAAATGCAAAATTGTCATGTATTGTCAAATACCTTGAAATAAGATGATATATATCAAATAAAGTGTGGAAGGACAATAGACTGACATGGTTACTTTCATTGCATTTCATGTAGACTCACATGATAGCACTATGGATGTGTTGTAGGTAGTATCTATGTACTTTCCATCTTCTATACTTACATGCAGCTTTAGAGCGACCTCTAATCCAATCACTAGCTCTGGATCCTCCTTCATTTGATGCAATCACCCTGTACAAGTATTCTGTAAAAAAGGGATGTTTTTATAAATCTAGATCGATCTCTGGTAGGATGAATAACTAGAAAACGAATATTATGAAAGAAAAGACAAGTGTATTCTATTTTTGCAAAAGTCTACAATGCCACTTTGAAGTCACAGGTGTAAGAGAAGCTGGATGGATCTGTTTACTCTTTGAGAGGTGATTTGGGTATGTTCCGGTGATAGAAGGACCCAAGCAGTCCTACAGTATCCAAGAGAAAGCCAACCTATTCTGGAAATACTTCTGTACCACCCATGGGAAAGAAAATGGGAATGTATTGTAGTTTTATATATTTTTTGTTTAGTTGTTGTGCTCATGACTTAAAAATAATATTTTATTTTAATTAGGAAAAAATGAAATAATATTTCATAATTACATTTACAACCAGCAGATTGAGCTCTAGTCTCCCCTGTATTTGTTTACCTGTCTATTCTTCAGCTGGGTACACATGAATCGAATTTTAGCGCAATCAGCAGGAAACGGACAAAATTATATCTATGGGTGGCCCTATCTCCTCAACAAAAGTTGATCGTTAACTTTTGTCAAAGGGACATGTTGGAAAATTGTTGAGCAAAACAGTGCTTGTGCTGCTGTTAGAATACAAAGGACACAGTGGGAGGTTCATCCATCTGTGTGTGCTAAGTGTGGCTAAGTACAGCTTTAGCCATTTTGGTTAAAAAAAAGGGAAAAATGTTGTTTACAGATCTCAATCGCTCAAGCCTAAATTTACACATACACACATAAATGAGTCAGAAGGGTGACTCTTCCACACCCTCTCTCTGGCTGTTCATATGTCTGTCTGGATTTTCAATCCATTAAATCTATTAGAGAGTATCAGATATAGTGCCTCGGACTCCCAAAATACAAAAACCACTGGATAGGTATGACAGCCGGGCAGTTAGCATTTTTAGAAGGAGACATCAGTAATAGAAGCCTACATATATCCTCCAATACAGGTTTATTTTAATGTGCAGAGATGTAGTGGTTGGTGGGAAGAAGCAAAGTTTGCAGTAGGGGGGACGCTATCAGGCACACCGTGAAGTGTTAGATAGCACTAAGATTTTGCTTACAACCACTGGAAGGGCATTTATTCCTATTCTTCTTTTAAAAGATAGCTCTGTCTCACTGTTCACTTTTGTTATACTAAAGACAGGTTCACATTAATAAAATGCACAATTGTAAAATAATAACAGTAAGATTCAGCTTACAGCTGTAATGTTTTATTCATTGTCCTAGTCAGTGATTGTTCATCTACTATTATTTTACATCTAGCCAATACCTAATCTCACACTAAGCAGCTCTACAGATAATACGGAATTAAGAATTTTGTGGTCCCCGCTGATGAGGAGTGATCTCCTTTCTGTACCTTTGAAGGGTTGCAGGCTGTGATCATGAGCTGTTTCCTCTCCCCCTCTATAGACTATGATGGAGTCATTCCCTCTGCAGTTAACGGAGCTGTCAGTTGATGGGCAGCCATCCAGATCGACTCTGACAGCGGTGCTGGACACAGATGCAATGTTAACAACGGCACCTTGTGTAAATCGGATATCTTTCATGCAGCCACCAAAACCTGCGAATGCAATAAGATCGATGCTCAGTTCCTCATTGTATTAAAGAAATACAAAGATTATTATGTCTACTTTGGAAGAACCACAGCATGTCTTCACTGAGCATGTGTTATATTTGGTATTTTTATTGTGAAATTTTTCCCAAAAGTATTTTTTTCATCCCAATGGTTCAACTGAACGTTTTGTTACAGTAACAAGAGAATCACTTAGAGCTGAAAGAGTGTTCCATTCGCACTGGGTAATCGCATGAATGTGCACAAAAAATAACACGCTTTTCTGTGGGTTCATTTAGCATGTGAAAAATGTGTGTTATGCTTGGGGTGCCATTCATTGTTTTGTGCACGCAAGAAACTCATCATGAATGCTATGCATGTTCATTGTGCATAATATAAATAAAGGTTAATAAAAAGAATGTAAGAACAGTTCAGCCATCTTTTTGAGCTCGGCGGGATGCCAGCTAGAGCATCCCGCTCAGCTCCTGGCAACCACTGACGACAGAGCTCTTAGCAACCTAGGATGCTGTGGCCACCTCCCTGATGCCCCCCCCCCACCAGAACAGTCAGAAAATGATGGGAAATTAAACATTTGTCATGGAGAAAGGGTAGAGGAAATTTTTAAAAGGGCAACTAAGATTTTATTCCCCTTGGTTTGCAGAGATTTCCTGTTACTCCCTGTTGTATCTGTGGGACAGGAAGTGAAGACAAATCTCCCTAATGGGAAAAAAATGACAGGGATTTGGACCATTATCTGCTTAATCCAACCAAAAAAAATTGGCTTTACTTACACTTACCATTTTAAAGCAGAATTGTCTATCGCTATATCTTATATACCAATGTCTAGTTTCCTGCATGTATCTCCTGTACCACTACAAATAAATCAGGGGAGAAAATAGAAACTTGGAACTAACTACTACTGCCTTAAGCTATTCAATTTTTCCTTTCGCACAGACACAATTATATGAAAAATATTATTGATGTATCCCTGGTAATTAAATCTTCCAGCACTGGAATACAGCTTCTTATGACACCTCTCCTGGTTTATCTACTGGGCATACAGTCATCATTGTGTGGACCATTTATAATTAAGCCTGCAAATTAAATTGCCCCGACTTCATATAGTTAAAAGCTGACCTTTGAAACGCATTGCGCTCAATTACACATTTAAGCCGGCGTTTCGTGGCCCCTCTGGAAGCTTGGATGATGAGGATTTTTCAGACAAATAAAATGCTGATGGGATATGCAGAAAAGCATGTGCAGTATACAATTCTGTATTCCAGGTCTGCATGAGATCATAACCATTATGGGCGCACCCAGCTTTCTCTGTTCAATGTTGTTTAATTTATTTTTTATTATACGGGATGAAACAGGTAGCAGACTGACCCACAGTTTATGATTTATATTGTTGATTTATTTACCTAAAGGTGGCCATAGACATGAGATAGCACCTGATCCTTTAACAGAACAGATGAGGCATATACAGTAGTGATGAGTAAACCTTAAGCAAAGTTTGGTTTGCTGGATGTTCACTAAACAACTGAATGCTAGAGAGTCTTTTAATGCAGCATAAAGGGTAACATTGAAAATAGACAATTTCTTTAAATAATATCATTGGGAAGAGCTCTACATCTGCAAGCGAAATGTGTGGAAAAGTGATATTTACAAATGTAAAAAAAAATCATTCAAATTGCAGCTAAATGACATTTCCTGGCTCTGGGAATGTAAAATGGGCTCTCATTTTGTTTGTGAACAAAGCAAGCAGGGATTCAATTTAAAATCGATATTAGACCTTTATCCTAGATTAGGGTCTCTTATGGGGAAAAAAGCAAAAAAAGTTGTGGTGTTCCCCTTAAAAATGTATACCAGACGCTTATCCTTAGTCATTGGTTGTGATGGTGCACCATGACTGTGGGCCACCAGCATCCTAGCTACCAATGAAGGAACAGAAAGCCATTCATTTAGTGATAGTGAAACCGCCACTAAATGAATGACTTGTGGCTGCAACAGGAAGTCATTCATTTGTGGATAGTGGAGGTCCCAAAAATGTGGAAAAAAATTGGTCAACAGAGGTACCCATCCATTGAGAGAGTCCAAGATTGGCTTTTTGGTTAAACAGGTTGAAAAAATACATAAGTCCATAGAGTCCAACCTATAAGTTCATCAAGTTCAACCTATATGGTTGTAAAAAGGATTTTATTTACATCAATGAATATAGGTAAAACACCTTCAACGTGTTTCGTGACTCACAATGGCCACTTCTTCCGGATCATCTTCTTCAAATCATTCATTTAGAAACCGATGTTCGGCAAACTGTGAACATGTACGTTCAGGTCAAACGTTCGGCTGCATATTATTATTATTATTAATATACAGGATTTATATAGCGCCAACTTGTTGCGCAGCTCTTTAGCATACTCGAAATCGCATCCTTAGTGGCATAATGATCTGTGCTTTTATTAGCCAAAAGTATGTGTTAATACACCAAGTGGACACCCCTTGCATTATATTATAGGAACAATTTCAATCTTGTAAAATAAGGTCATCCTATCTCCAAGTACCTATGTTTGGTGGCAGTCATTGTTTATGAGCACATAAAGTGTGTGTAAACTCTAACAATCAACTTCTCATATTTGGTCCCTTTTGGTTTGGTAAATGTACCAATGAAAGCATGATGTTATATCTGTTTAATAAGTGCAAAAAGAAATACCTCTTGATCTGGTAAAGTAAAAAGAAATCTGGTTTACGTCAGAAGAGCCTCTTCTGTGCCATTCTAATTTAGAGTCACTTTGTTATCGAGTCATGACTTTCACTGAGTTGATGGCTAAGCTCCACCAATTGCCATTCTACGGTCCAATAAAAGTGCCTTTACTGACCATGGAGTTAGTCTCATTAGAAACTGGAATGGCCATTGGCAAGGCTATGCAGTAATTGTAGGTCATGCCCTATTAACAAAATGAAACCAAAAAGAGAGGAGCACCGAAGAAGTTTTAGCTAGTTAATAAAAGGTAACAGCAGGTGTCTTGTGATGGCAGCACTATAAAGCCTTTACAAACATTAAAATGGAGCACAGGTTCTCTTTAAATTTGCTTTAGGCGTGGATTAACGCTACTTGTTGCTCTACTTACCTTGTTGTGTATGAAGTTCTGGAAATGAGCTCCACACAGTCTCTGGGACTCCTCCGACATAGACTGCTGAGATGGCTTCTATCTGTGATGCTGCAGAGTCAATGACCCGCTCTACCAAGGCATTGAGCTGGACCGAAAACACAGAACCTTCTCTCTTTAAATAGACTGTGTTCCATCGGCCATCACAATAAGAGAGTCCAACCCACAAGTTCACTCGGGTCAGAGACATCTTTGTTTTACACTGTAAAGTTACAATCCCATTGTTTAATTCAGCCTGAAATAAAAAATTTAAAAAAATGACTGAGGATAATGCATGCCTTTCTGCACAAAGAGGGTTATTTAAAATCAATCTACATTTTTAAAGTTTGATTGGATTAATATAAATTTATGTGTACACACACACAGTATATAATACCTTAAATACTTCATATAAAGATGTTATATTCACCCCTTTGGCACCAATTATGGCATTTTCATGAAGCTGACTCACTATTATGCTGTGTATTTTGTGGATTCCTCATGGGTATATTCTTACCTGCATTCGTGTTCCTGATATCTTCAATGTGTCCCTCACCAAAGGTGCATAGTGTTTTCTTCAAAACGCAGCAGCTGCACATGCGCGGAGTCATATGCCTGCTCCAGGGCCTGGTGGGACTGTTTTGAAAAAAGACCATGAGGGGAACTGATAAAAACTGGAGCACACATAATCTGGAGCAGTTGACCATGGCAACCCATCATCTTCTCTGTTTCATTTTCAAAGCTTAACTGAACAAGCTGAAAAGAAAAACTGAGTGGTTGCTATGGACAAATACTCCAGATTCGGTCTGTTCCAGTTTTTGTGAGTTCCCCCCATGTGAGAAGAGGGGCTTATAAAGGACAACTTCTATAAAAATGTAAGCTGTCCTTTAAAGCAGTACTCCAGCCATGTAGCTGTAAAACAAAACTGCCTCCACTCCCTGTTTCTTAGCAGTCTTGCTTGTGTGTTAATTCTAATAAATTATTTAACACCCAATAATACTTACCTTAATCTGAGGTCAAGCAATCTTCTTCCCCACAGGTTCATGTTCCTCTGAAGCCACGGCGCATGCTGGTCTTCAACATGTCTTATCACCACCCCTTTTGTTGACACCATGATGCCCGGACTTTAATGCAGAGCCAATGGAGACATCAACAGGATGTGATGCAGCTGCTGGTCATAGGGCTCACCCATATTCCAGTTAATGGATTAATGTGGGTAGATGCTGCCTGACTGATTAACTTGTACCACCTTACACCTCAATTCACATTGCAAATAACCTTCAGACACTTTACATCCAAAAGAACTCTGCTAGAAAGAGCAAGCAAGAGGTATTCATACAATATATTCATATAGTAATGGAGAGGAGGAGGCTGTGCCGCCTGCATACCATGATCAAACAAATCCAGGGACTTATCAAAAGTGGTGAGGGTGGCTGAGAGAATCGGAGTGCCCTACAGTGAGCAGTGCCTCAGCTAGCTTGTCTGGTTCTGACCTTCTTAAAAGGCCAAAGGTGATATTTTATCTAAGGGGTGTGTGATTTACATTTATTTTTCTCCGTGCATTTAAGATATTGCATAGCACTTCCATTAATGAAATACAATGATATTGCCTGCATGGCTGAAATACATAGGGAAACGTAAAAGTGTGAATTGTTCTCAATATGCAATCCTGTTGAAATAACTTTTCAAAACTTCACCTGTTAGCACAAGGAATTATCTTTTTGTGAGTGTGTGTGTGTAAGCCAGTAACCCATCATTTATCACTGTTTTTTCATAATGGGTTTGTAGTTTGCATAAAGCTCTGAGCCACACTTCTGTACAAGAGAGATAAGAGCTGATGATGCAAGTATGAGTCTACATCAAAGACTTATTAGTCATACATGGCTAGATTTCTCTTGCTCAGCCTCGATGAATGAGAGGATAGAGGATGGGGGAATCACCACTGCCGACTATTGTATTCAGACAACTGGTACACACCACTCAATTTTCCACCTAGCTCCTTTTGTAATCGAAGTTTGTTCAGCCAAGTGGTGCCAACAGTGACACCCGTGGCTTGAATTTTGGCCAATTTAGCAGAAATTTGAAGAAATTTAAAGTGACGCTAAACTCAGGAGTTAAATCTTGAATATGCCTTTAGGTACCCTAACTATTAACAAAAAATGTATCTTATTTGTGTATCGCTTGGCTGTAGATCCTCAAATTACCTCTGAATTGGTGCTGACCTTCCCCTACCTACTGGAGGGTGGCTACTTTTGTTCCCCATTGTCCCTGTTTGTTGTAAAGTAGTCACCGCTCCAAGCTCACTCCCGTGATGGACTACAATCTCACGTTTAGTTAATAATTTGTATTAAGATTGTAGTCTACCACAGGAGTGAGCTTGGAGCAGTGACTACTTTACAACACACAGGGACCATGGGGAACAAAAGTAGCCACCATCCAGAAGGAAGGACAGTGTCAGCACCAATTCAGAGATTATTTGAGGTTCTACAGCCGAGTGATACACAAATAAGATACAGTTTTGTTAATAGTTGAAGAACTTGAATTCGTTTTTAAGATTTAACTCCTGAGTTTAGTGTCACTTTAAGCCATGTATGACCAATTTACATGATAAATATTTAGATTAAAAGGATGTGATGGGTTTTGGGTGGCTTTCTATGCTTCAAGATTTTGGTTAGGGGAATGAAAATCAGGACAGTGGACACGGAATGGTGCCTGTTAAAAGACATGGTAATCTTTCTTCTAGAATCTTTTGGGTATACTGTAATTTGTGATTAAGGCTGAACTCCGGTCAGCAGTATAATATTATGTTCTTGTGCTCTCTCCAGTTAGCAGGGTTTAATAGCTTGTTCAGTCTAATGTTGTTGTAGAGTAAGGGCATACTTATCTCATTTCCTGCTCCTGCAGACTTCCTCTTTGCATGTGACTGGTCCCATGAAGCTATAGGAAAACTTGTTGCAGTCCTTACCGGATACCCCAAAGACAGGTAGTGACTGCGGATGGCACCAATAGTTCCATGAATCACTTGAAGAAATGTCACCAGCACACCAAAAATGTTAAGCCTGATGAAGGGACCCCGCGTGGCCCAAAAAGCGCTTGTTTTCACTTGACATGGTTCTTATTAAATGATCACATGGTTATCCGGAAATGATTTTTGGTGTGCTGGTGACATTTCTTCAAGTGATTCATGGTCCCATGAAGCCACTTCTCTTTGCTGCTTATTTGGTCACAGTGTCTCCAACATCATCATGTATAATGAAGGACAAGCTATTAAACCATTCTACCTGGCGGACAAGGGAATGTCCTATGCTTGGTTCCATTTCGTTGCAGGATGCCATGTGAACGGCATTCGCCCAGTGGGCAGAAGTTTTACAGATCATCCCCAAACTGTATGCCTGGTATAAAAGTACATAATACATCTCTTCAATACATGCACATTTGCTTAAGTTTGCTCTGAAAAAACACTGCAAGTACAAAAAATACCTGCACTGTCAGCCCACTTGGAAGTTAGGAGCTCACTTAACTTTCACTGCAGATGCCACTGCAACCAGAAAATGATTATTTTTATCCTTTTAATGCTGTATATTTCATACACCATTACAATATTTAAAAAAAACATTGAAAATAATCACATTTTGAAATAACTGTAAGCCTCTAATAATAAAATAAAAAAATAGATCAGAGTTGTTATTAAACGGTGTACCAAATAAAAGCCTTGCACGTATTTAAAAAAATATAAAAATTATTGTGGTATGCAAATTAGTCACAGTGTTAATAACAAACACATGCTGACATTGCTATATTTGGCCTGGACATCTAGACAGCAATGACCTCTGTTCAGGAACAAACTTTAACATTCATGTATGTGTGTGTATTATCAATAATAGTTTTCTTACACAGGTAACCTTATAGCTACAAGTTTAGAGGAAACAGAACACAGTAACTTCAAAGTTGATGCAGGATCAGTTTGAAGTTATTTACTAGTACTTATATATATGCTCCATATTGAGGTATAAATGTTAATAGAGGTTATCATAGGTGTATAGGCTTCTATTTCTATAAAGGTAATCTAAAGCAGCCCATCACATGTGAAACAAGTCTGATTGGGTGCTATCGGTTACTTTGCACATAGCACATGTTTCCCTATGCTACTAAGCCAACCAGATTATAATTACCAGGATATAGTCCAGTCCATCCTTGCCAGACATGAAAAGCAGCAGTCCTCTCAGCTGGTCAGTTTTAAACATGAAAGATATTTCAACATTTGGACCACCAGGAAATACATCAGGATAAAGTTCCAGGAATCCTATGATGATACAGGAACATTACATGTTAAATGTCCACATTGGGTCTCTATTATACTTTCAATGGCAAGTAGACATGTACATTTCGTTTAGTTCCGAATTGATATTCGTACAAAATTCGGACATTTGGATGCATCCGAATTTTCAAAATTGAACGCAAATTTTTCATAAATGCAAACAAATACAAATGTCCATTTAACTAAATTAAAAAAAATTTGTGGAGCTACATGACTATTGGCAACAGCCTGAAGCTGGCCACACAATGGACAACCTCCTTTAGATTAACTAATAACTAGGTAGTATGAGGGCCTACCTGATTGGATGTAATTGGATGTAAGCAGAATGTTGAGGTCGGCCCTCACTTAAATCTAGTTATAGCAAATCTAAAAGATCACACAGAGATTTTACAATCAGCTTGCGACCTGCATGGCCAAAGTCAGACAGCCAACTTGGCAATCAGCAGAATCATAACACTTGACACAATGCATATTTACACAGCCTTGCAAATGAAAGCTGAATTCAAGGCAAACAGCTAAATACAGAGATAAAATACATTTATGAAAGCTGTCCCACCTACCAACAGGATTTGCATTTCTGTCCAGCCAATACTTAGATTTACAGATCCTTTCACTTACTAATCTCTTCTGCAGCCCCACCATGTGACTAGACAATGAAAGAAGAAACAACACATCTGTGACTGCCTATTTCACTGTCATTGCTCTCTCCTCCAATCAGCATGCTCTTTATGTGGGCCTCTTGTGCTGCTTTGTCCAATCCCAGTCTAAGCTCAGCTGAACAGGGACTGCAAGTGGTTGATACCGAGTCAAATTCAGGTGTTTACACTACTTGCATTAAAACAAAGGTACATTTAAGGATATAATGAAAATAGCGCAATGTGTGTCTTCATTTATATCTGCATAGTGTTTCTAATTCCCACCCAGCTTCCACAGGAACAAAAAAAAAACTGCCATTATTGGTCTCTGCTAGCTGCCTAGTTGTCATGCTGACTCACTGACTTCAGTTCTTTGGGGTCAGTTTATTAATGTTTTCAACAAAGCTTCACACAACTTTCATCCAGGATTCACACATGTTCTAATGGAATCTTATGTGAAAAATGCATGACCGCTGTGTGAACCTGGAGTTAAATTGATAAATAGACCCTTTTGAGTCACTGATCTAGAACAAGTATGCAGAGAAGGACTTCTGACTACCCTGATACTTAGTTCAGACAGTATTATTTATTGGATCAGCATAATTGCCAGGTAACTAGTATTTTCAGATGGAGGACAGCAATGATAGTTTTATTCTAAGAAGGTCTGAAAATCACAATGATGGTGACAATTTGACACTGTGGGTAACACAGACAGTTTTTCTTTCACTGTCACTTTCTTTCAGTCTCTTAAACTGGCCATACACAGATTAGGTTTTGTCAATTTGCTACTGGATCAGCCAAAATTCAATCCCTGATTGGTCCCTGCATTAAAAAATTGAGTTTTCAATCAACTTTTTTTTGAAGGAGCCAGATGGAAAATTGCTGGCTGAAGAGTGAAGGCTTCCAATTAGCTTCCATCACTATTCCTATATGCTGACATCCACTGGTTCCTTCATCCAGGCTCTTTAGCATGGATAGGGAATTTAAGCAATTTTTCCTGTTCAGTCTGTGAGGCTGAAGGAGAAATATCTTAAGCTGTATGGCCAGCTTTCTTTGCTCAAAAGCAATAAACATATATGGGAGATTACCAAAGCCCAGGAAATGTGCTCCAACGTCTGAAGTCTCTGGACATCCTTCCCACTTCTCGTAGACATTGTGTCTTTCTTCTGCCATAACCCAGTCCAGCAGATCCCATTCTTCTGTAGAGATGTCACGTCTCTGTATGTATATGTCACCAAGGCAGCCGACAAAACTCTTCCGTACAATTTCAGTGTCACCTACGATATAAAAACATTTCTTACTTGTATTGCGCTATACTCATGGATATGTCATGACCAATAAAAAGTCTGTTCTTTCTACTCTTGGTAAACAATGAGAATTTCCCCTCCCAGTGCAATGTTGGATAATCAGAGGTAATCTGATCGGTTCCTTTGAGAACCAAGAATGGTTCTTCCTTCTGATACTTCATCATGGAGAACACCACATTTAAACATGACGAATCAACATTTAAACTAAGGCAGTAAATTATCTACCTGCTGAGCTATTTACACCTTTAAATAGTCATGTTATGCAGTAGGCAGCCCTGCTGGCCAAATCACCTTGCCTGTATTATCATCCTTTCTATTGCAATGGAACTCAGCATGTGAAAATACAGCATGTTGTGTACCCTGGTTCCATCACCAGCCCACTTCAGTCTTACCATACACACAGTGGAAACTATAGGAGAATTTCAGTATCATCTAACATACTTGGGGGATGATATACAACAATGTTTGTTGTTCATTACTAGATGGAGCCTCTAACTAATAGGCTGTGAATGTATAGCACATAGGTGTGTGCATGATGTTCCCTGCACATTACTGCCAGTAGATGGAGCCTCGGAGCTTTGCTTCCAAATGGAGTGAGTAATGTGCTGCAAACACATTATAAATCAGCCCCAAAGGGTCTTGATTGAGTCCTTGTTTTACATCAACATACATTAAAGAATGGTGTGACAAGAGGCTGTGGACCAACCTAGAATTGCATATGGGGAGAATGGGAAGCAATGGCTACAGTGAAACTTATAATGCTTAGATTAAATATAAACTTCAGGCAAACTACTATATACAACATTAAAATAGATATATGGGGATTTTTTTTACCTACCAAAGTATTTGTAATTATGTTAACCCAATCTTATGATCCAAACTTCCCTGCCAGACATTACAACAAACCCTTCAACCACCAACACAGATTACAGTAGGCTGGTTCTGGACCCATCCCAACCTGTGAAGGAGCAATTGGAGCATTGCTCTGTTCTGCCCTCCTGTAAGCATGTTCCCTGAAAGCAAAAGTCTTGATAGGCTCCTTGTGCTGCTCCTCCCTCTCTTAGTTTGAGCACTACTGTAAGAAATACAGGGGGGGGGGGGTGAGAGATTCGGGTACTAATGCTAGTTTTATACAGAGTACATTTATATGTACTTTAATGATTTTCCTATCGAATACATAACTGGACTCATTACATCCTACATTTTACCAGTCCTTAAATGTGACTTTTCAGGCTAAGGACATTTTCAGCAAGTATAGGAAATAACTATTGATTTTGCCAAAAATGCAGTGTCTGTAAACTAATAGTAATGGCAGACATGTTCAAAGTCCAGCCTGGGTGGCAACCGCAGCTTCGTCCACAGATACAGCAGAGGGAATGTTGCCACCCACCCTGGGACAGAATATGTGTTATTTGCAGGATTACCAGGTATCAATAAAAAAAAAAATCCTGAAAAAAAGAAAACTAATGTGGGAACCTCATCAAAACCAAAGGATAAACTGCAGCCAGTTTTGAGTTCTGCAGCAGGGTCAGACATGGGAAAAAACAATTGTGTCAAGATTTTGGTGAAGGATGCAGTCTGATTTATATTTCATTATATTTTCACTTTTGCAGAGCAAACTTGAAGACGTGGCTTTCACCAAATGTACAGTGACCCACGAGATACCAATCCAATAGTAAGTGTCCAACAAAAGAAAGGCAAAGCCAACTTGGAGGCTACTTGGAGAAGTGGTAGTCCTTAAGTCTTCACTGCTTTGAGTGCCATTAGTGATGGAAAATATTGATTCCTCATATAAGCCAGTGGTTTGGCACCCTATAGAGCTACCACTTCTCAGCTCTGATAAAGGGGGGCTTTTGTAGCCCCTAAAATGTGTTGACTTTCTTTTGTGAACTGTTCCATCTAATAAAGACCATGTTGGACACTTACTACTGGGTGGGGGCTTCATCATTTATTATCTTGGAAGATCCCTACAAGGACATACCTTTCTATGGATGGGGAGCTGCCAACTACAGCCAAAAAACTAAAACCATGAAAAAGTACTAGGTCATATGCCCACTAATTGCTCTACCAAAGGACCCAGCACTCCTCTTTTGTACATGAGTGACCAGGCTTCCCAATGGCAGTTAAAGTGCTCTCAGATATGTTCAATTTAGTTATTGCTATACATAGCTACAGAGTTTAGAATGCTATAGACTGGAGAAGGGACCACTTGATAGAGACACCTTGAGCGTCATATTTAGCTTTGACACATTTACAAATCTATGCAACAGAGACCTCTGTCATAGAACAGGACTATGTGGTGGCTAAATAAGATGACATCATAACTGACCCCAGACCGGCAATCATATACTGTGTGTATGCATGTACTTACCTGTGTCATCTCTTTCTACTGAAAAGTGCTTTGGGAGTCCTCCAATGTATACCCCAGTGTTATCACCAATCACTGTACCAGCCCCAGATGAGGAGGCAAAACCTGTAGAAAGAGATTAAAATACTCAAATCTCAAATGCTTACACTGAAATGCCAAATAAGTAAAAAAAAAAAGCTGTATATGATAGAAAGGGGACAAGAGCTAAAATGTAATGTGCAGCAGTATGTGTTTAGGTCACTTATCTCTTTCTGTTGGCTTTTTGGCATTCTAGCCTTTTAGTACAATAAACCCAAAGTCCTTACTAGGGATGCCATGATCCATTGCAATGCTATGTGTATACTTGAGCTCAAACTGTGCAGACGTCTGAGAGAGATGACGACCAAATTAAAGGACTAGGGGACTAAAAAATACAAGCAAATGTGCTTTTTTAGTGGATCATTCTCCAACCATAACTTCAGACAGGGGACACAGACAACAAGAAAACATAGACAGAGGATCAGTCTGTGACATACAAGTGGTCAACCTCCATATGGATAAAAAAAAAGTATAATTATATAGAACACTTACAACAACAACAACAACAACCGATTAATTAATCTTGTTCAGTCTCTAAGGGTTGGTGTACACAAGCTTCAGAGTCAGAAGCAAGTAAAATGCAGCATGCATTCAGAGAAAATAGCTTGGCATATGTTTTAGGAGACAAAGAATGATTAACCACCTGTGAACGTTTGGTGAATGTCATATACTAAATATGCCACATAGAGTTTTCATCAAGTTAAAGTGTATGTAAAATCTAACAATTAATTCTTTTTGACTCCTTTTGGTCTCTAAAATAAACAGTTAAAAGTATTTTGTTATGTCTTCTCAAGAAGTATGAAAAATAGTGTTGACTCGGTCAAAAATCCAATGGACTCCTAATGTTCTGTACACTTAAATCCCAAGCGGCATAATTAGCCGTGCCTCGTTTTTATTTTCTGTGGACTGCAGGACACCTCCCCTTATGTTATGGAATTGAAGAGAGTGGAAAGTGTTCTGTAGACCAAAGGAGAGGAGAACAGCCCAGGTTTGCAGTGCTGCCCCTCCATAGATACTGTACAGAAAGTGAACATAATTTGTCACAGCAGCAGGAAGTGTGTTACTGGCAGGATCATTCGATGAAAAAAGAAAAGAAAAAGCGAGTAAAAAAAAAAGAATGCAGCCTTTGCATCATGCAAGGACTGGTGGGATGTAATATAAATATATATAGTTATATAGGGGGTTATATAGAGGGTATATATATATATATATATATATATATGTATATATATAGTTATATTAGGTCGGTAAGTCAATCAATAAATGTACATAAAAATATAAGTAGGTAAGTCAATCAATACATAAAATAAATCACATAAGTATTTACACGTCCCACATCTACCCAAAACTAAAAAACAGAGTTTGGCGTTACGATTTCCTTTATAAATCACCTTTTTACCATTACGCAGAATATTTTATAATGTCTTTAGAGATGTGACTCTACCTGTATACTTTCTGTCCACAGTTATGTATCCTGTGTTTTGGCTCCTTGTAACAATAGCCTCATGCCATTTGTTATCACTGTATTCTTTAGTGCCATCGTTTGTAGTTGTTACAGCCACTGCTGAGTCCTAATCAATGGAGAAAAAAATATATATATTACAATCTTTAGACGACATCTCAGATTGCACATATTTGTTTAAATGGCCATGGTGAAACACATCTATGAATTTCCCAATGTTCAGAAGATTTTTAGATTTGAAGTGTATTTATACTTTTGCTATCCTTACTTTTGTTATCTATTCTTAAAATGGAAATAAACCACTTTGTAATGTTTTTGTTTTTGCCCTAATGTATAAGTTTGTGCAGCATGCTTGCACATGATGACAGGCTTACCATACAAGTGAGCTTTTCTCCATGGCTGTTGGATCGATCTTTGGTTCTCAGCTCTGTCCCCCGCCTCCTCCTCTGCTGCTTTATCTCTGACCGGCACTCTGGCCGGGGATCTAGGTACTGTCCCGCCCAGCTCGTGCCAAACAGTGAGATCACTGGTTGCCAGGAGTTGAGCAGACGCTCTGGCCGACATCCCACCAGCTCATGGCAACCAATGATGTCTGCAGTCCTCTTTCTGGCCAGAGTGTCCTAAGTTGCTAAGAGCTCTTATTTCTGACTGGTGCTCTGGCCGGCTTCCCACCCAGCTTGTGGCAACCAGAGTGTTTTTGGTTGCCAGGAGTCGAGCAGGAAGCTCTGGATGGCACCCTGCCCAGCTCCTAGGAACCAGTGATGTCAGTGAGTTGGGCAGGATGCCAGATACTGCCCCACCCCTTAATGTGCACCACTAGCAACCAACCTGTATCCCTCCCGCAGCCTGTTACTATGGACGCGGCCGGGAGGGGAGGTGAGTCACAGGACCCGCCCCCTCACTGTGAAGCCCGTCGGCAGTGCGGGGCCCCGTGGCCCGGTACCATTTGATCCAGGGACCGGTACCGGTCCGCGCCCCGGGGGTTGGGGACCACTGATATACACCATTAGCACATTGCCCACCCTTCCCATAACGTGCACGACTACCCCCGCCCCTCTTCCAGGTGTGTCCCTAGACTATTTGCAAGCCTCAAATGGCAAATAGTCTAGGGACACCCCTGGGAGAGGGATTGGAATACTTGTCAGGTTTTAAATTCCATCTGTGTCCCTGTTAGGGAGATTCACCGTTACGATTTGTTCTGGTGACCGTTATCACTGAAAATAAAATAAAATCCCAAATTTTGGGTTGTCATCAAAACAGAAATACTCGTAGATGGGAAATCTTCCAATGCAGACACTAGTCCTGGTGACCATGATGACCACCAGTGATTTCCCTCACTTTGGAGAGATTTCATCTCACTTCGTGTTGTAGCTATTGCACAGGAAATCTCCCCAACAGGACACAGATGGCAAAAAATTGCTGACAAGGGCAATAAACCTCCCTTACTCTATCCAAAAAAAAAAAGTTTTCTTTAAAGTTTCACTTTCATTTCTGGAAAGTACTACACAGTGATGAGCAGGATGTGCACCCAGTTGCCTATGGACCCATCAGGAGGTGTACTGGCTTTTTTGTCTCTATATTGTGAACAGGACTGTTACAGTGCAATGTGCCCACAAGGAGAAACTTTCTATGTTGCATCAGCTTCTTCCTCTCATACTGAGCTTAGGCCTCCATATAACACTGAAGAAAAACTTTACAAGCAGCAAAAAAAACCTGCGGCTGCAAACGAAAAGCCAAACACGTCCAGCGTAAACTGCAGCATTTCCGACACATTTTATCTCCTCTTCAACCTTATTTAAACATTTGATATTTTACAAACATGCATTTCATTATTGTAGTTTAATAATTAAAACCAGAACTGGTGTCATGCCCAATTAATGTGCCCTGGTATTATGCCTATTAGTTTCTCCATTAGTGAATTCAACAATACTAATGGGATTATGAGCATGAGATGCTAATTGGGCGTGACATAAGGAACTGGCTTACTTCTTGGCATACCCTTGCTAATGATGAAATTAATGAGCATTTTATTAAATGCTGTCTCATCAAAGTGTCCTTAGTTAGCGTTAAAATTGTTACAAATGATGCAGCATTCTAAATGTTGCATCGAGAACGTGAAGAAGATTTCTCGCTCTCAGTTTGGTAGTCATGTCTAAGATCCGCTCGTTAAGCCTTATAATGTGTTGTTTCAGTAACTGTCAAATGTGCACAGGTTCACTAACAGCTAAGAGACAAGTCATGCTAGAAAAGAGAAAAATGGTGAGCGGAAGCCGTGTTACAGTCTACAGAGAGAAAACAATGGTGAAGCCATGCTGAAAACAGGAAAAGAAGTCGAATGTGAAAAGGCATCAGAAGTAAGAGAAAAGATACAAAAATAAAAACACTATTAAAGAACTCATAACCAATTATAACCAGTTAGGATGGTGATATATTTATACTGCAGCTGAAAGTGTATTAAAAGAGCAATGAACTGAAGCCAAAACTATGGGTAATGGAAGGTTATAACCTCTGTAAGTTTTTTTTTGCCCTCTGTGTCTCATTGGGGAGATTTCCATTCACTTCCCGTACGATAGCCACAACAGGAAGTGAAAGGAAATCCATCCATAGTGTAATTCCCTGGTGGTCAGCAGGGTCACCAGACTAGTGTCCCCATTGGAAGATTCCCCATCCATTCCAGTTCTGCTGACAACCCAAAATTTTGGATTTTTTTTTTCACTTTCAGTGATAATGGTCAACAGGAGAAATAGAGATGTGACGGACTGAACCGTCACTGGGGCTGCTGGAGGAGCCTGAGGGCTAGCCTCCTTCCTAGAGACTATGGACCAATCCCTATTTGCCCTGTTTCGAGTCCTCATTTGCATGGCCGAGAGGACCTAGGTGAGGACTGGAGGATAGTTTGCAGTTGACCAATAGGAAGGTGGTCGGTTGGGCCACCTTCAAACTGTTGTTTTATATAAGTGTGTATGTGCATCCAATAAAGCAGATTCCTGTTTGAACTTACATACAGCCTACAGCACATAGCTGAAGTTCGAATCCCAAATTATCGGATGTCCGAAATATCAGACGCTGCGGTCTGAAATCTAAGGAGTGCCGGGAGAGTGGAACCGAGCGAGCAAGGGGCTCGTTACAGAAGGTTATAACCTCTGTAAGTTTTTTTGCCCTCTGTGTCTCATTGGGGAGATTTCCATTCACTTCCCGTACGATAGCCACAACAGGAAGTGAAAGGAAATCCATCCATAGTGTAATTCCCTGGTGGTCAGCAGGGTCACCAGACTAGTGTCCCCATTGGAAGATTCCCCATCCATTCCAGTTCTGCTGACAACCCAAAATTTTGGATTTTTTTTTTCACTTTCAGTGATAATGGTCAACAGGAGAAATAGAGATGTGACGGACTGAACCGTCACTGGGGCTGCTGGAGGAGCCTGAGGGCTAGCCTCCTTCCTAGAGACTATGGACCAATCCCTATTTGCCCTGTTTCGAGTCCTCATTTGCATGGCCGAGAGGACCTAGGTGAGGACTGGAGGATAGTTTGCAGTTGACCAATAGGAAGGTGGTCGGTTGGGCCACCTTCAAACTGTTGTTTTATATAAGTGTGTATGTGCATCCAATAAAGCAGATTCCTGTTTGAACTTACATACAGCCTACAGCACATAGCTGAAGTTCGAATCCCAAATTATCGGATGTCCGAAATATCAGACGCTGCGGTCTGAAATCTAAGGAGTGCCGGGAGAGTGGAACCGAGCGAGCAAGGGGCTCGTTACAGAAGGTTATAACCTCTGTAAGTTTTTTTGCCCTCTGTGTCTCATTGGGGAGATTTCCATTCACTTCCCGTACGATAGCCACAACAGGAAGTGAAAGGAAATCCATCCATAGTGTAATTCCCTGGTGGTCAGCAGGGTCACCAGACTAGTGTCCCCATTGGAAGATTCCCCATCTATTCCAGTTCTGCTGACAACCCAAAATTTTGGATTTTCTTTCACTTTCAGTGATAATTGTCAAGAGGAGAAATAGAGAGGGGAATCTTCCTAATGAGGACACAGACAGCAATAAAAATGTGACAGGTGTTCTAATGCCTCCCCACTCATCTAAAACTAAAAAACAAAAAACTGTTGGTTTCAGTTGCACTGGAAAGCAAAACTTTTGCCAAGGCTTTTATTTCAGTTTATGGAGGAGGGAAGGGTTAGGAACTCTGTTAAATTTTAAATTCAGTCTGTTTTCCAATAAAGTAGATCTACATTCTCTTCCTGTTCTTTTTGGCATCTGTCACCTGGACAGGAAGTGAGTAGACATCATATAAACACAGCAATAAATAGCTCAACTGTCTCAGTCTACTCACAAATGTGTTCTTATTTCTGCCTGTTGGGGGGATTTCCCCTTGTTCCTGCTATGATCGACAATGGTCAAATAGACAGGAAGTGGGGAGGCTCTCCTTCACTTCCTGTTCTGTCTGACAATCCTCTAATAGGCAGGATAATATCTCCCAAAAAAAGTTGACCCTTACAAACTCTATGCAAAAACTTAATAGAGAATTTGGACTGGAGTTGGGCTTTCAAAGGTTTAGGGGCCAGTTCACAGTCTGCCTATTATTACCTATGGTATAAGCAGGGTAAGCAGGTAAATATAGCCTTCTCCGAAGTGCAGAAGTGCAGATGTTGGATCAGACTCAGCTGATCCAACATCTACATCGGCTGAGCTAAAGCTCCGGCAGCTCACTCGCTGCCGTTCGTCCCTATTCACATACCACCTCCGTGGTACCGAGCAGAATAGCAAATAGTAAAAAAAAGTGGAAAAAAAAGTTGGAAAAAAAATGTTTCAAAATGTAGATAAATAACACATTTAGCTCCTCTCCTAGAAGACTCTGGCCTGTGCCAGCCAATAAATAACAACTGGGCGGAGCCGGCCATGATGTCATGGCTGGCTCCGCCCAGTTGTTATTGTTTAATGACAGATACTCGCCCCCAGGTTATTTGAGGACGCTGATCTATCATTACAACTGTCTGGCTCCGCCCTGCTGTCATTTGCCTTCACCCCGCTTTGGCTGTCTCTTTGGCTCAGTCGAGACGAAGCATATGCCTTCGGCTCGGCTGAGCCGCTCGGCCGCCTTCGGGAGCTGTACGGGCTATAGCGAATAGCCCGTACAGCAGCCCTTCCGTTCGACTGAACTGAAGGGCTCCCGCAACCGAAGCTAGCCGAAGGATCAGCCAAAGCTTCGGCTGATCCTGCGGCTAGCTTTGTGAATAACCCCTAAGATTAACTTGCTTAGTAGGAAAATACATGTATGTATACAGGAATACAGCATTATAAGGAAGCATATAGATAGGAAAAAATCCTATGTATCATACAGTAGATATGTAAGCATAGAGACCAACATTCCACCACAGCGCCATCTACAGATCAAAAGACATAACAGTACATCAGCATATGCTGCTGCATTGCCAACCCTTTATAGCTATAAGCTGTGGGACAACACGTTATGCAGTGCAATGCCATTCATATATAAAGCCACCTCAGCAAACGACTACAGTTAGTGCCAATGCACCCACTCCACATGACAAAAAATACCACATGTTTTGGTGCAATACATTAGAAAAAAGGTGCAGGTTGGGCTTTTGTTTTGTTTCCATGCATTGGCAGTCGTTTTTAATGAATGAGCTGCCTTACAGTGGACCTTTCCCCCCTTTGACTAAAAATCACATCAGCATACAGTTCGGCATGCTCCATGCTGGGAAGAAAAGAAAAATAAGGTATACAAAAAATAAAAAGCCGGCAATTATCTATAAGTATGTGTTTGTAGATTGTCATTACTAAACATTTTTAAAGGTACCTTTGTTGTAATTTTGAAGATATGAGTACAGTGCCTCTTTAAAGCCTATAAAGCCTTAAAGCCAAAGGAAAAAAAACACCCTTTGCAGTGGGACTACCCTTGCACTGGAAGGGTTAACTGCTTGTTAATGTCTAGGGGTCCGGAGTAAAGGACTTTTATTTGACTGATCCCTGCTTCCCCACCAATCAGCATCATCACTGCATCATCATCAGGCCTTCAACTAATGCAGTATAGGGAAGAAGAGCCCACAGACACCAATCGTGGAGCCAGTGGGTGCAGGGATCAGGCAAGTAAAAGTTCTTCAGACAGGTCTCCTAGACATTAATGAAGGGTTGGGTAACCCTAGCAGTCCCAGGGCAGCCCCACTGCAAGGGATGTTTTTTTTTTTTCCCCCAGTGATTTAAGTGGCTTTGTGTAAGCTCACTTTGACATGTGGAATACTAAACATTTCTAAAGGGGACCTTGCAAACTGATAATATGGTCACTTTTGCATTTTTCTAAAACAATACTTTTTAAACCAGTTTCCCTAAGTGTGTCCGTGAAGGTTCTCATTCATCCAGGTCATGGTATATCTGTAAAAAAAAATAAACAATGCCTTGACTTATTTTTTACAGATAGTTTCCCTAAGTGATTTCCCAACCCCTCCAATTAAAACCTTTATTGGTTGTCCCTCATTCCCTGTCCATACTTGGTCAGCTTTTGACACAACTATCCATTCCTGTGTTGTAGGACATTTATATCCTAATCTTTCTTAATTATAAGAATTTAGCCTAATTTTGTTGTTCATGGAATAAGAAAAAAGAATTACTAATGAAAACATACAGGAAACACAAGATGAATGAAATGAAAAACGATTAATACAACGTTATTATCAAGGTCAACATATTTTCACTCTTGCCTGCGTTATCCTTAAAATGGAAGCTCGTAGTAAATAGATAACTAATTAAATTGGAAACAGCCTCAGGTGTTTCAATAGTTCCTTCCCAAAGAACTCCAATCTTCAAAGGTTTTAAAGAACCCATTAACCTGGATCAATAGGAAAAATGGAAACAGCGAATGCCTCATCATCTGAGACCATTAAATGTACCAGATGCCTTTGGGAGGCTTGATAGAGATCTTTTTCACTGGTTTGCTCATTGACTCTTACCTGTGGATCAAAAAGGAAGTAAAGGCGCCCTCGTCTTATTTGGAGCACAATGTATTCTTCCTGAGTTCCCGCTGACACAGCACACACCAGCAACCCGTCTGATTCCTTCGTCCTGAATTGTATTTTAATACCTATTGATCAGGAAGAGAAGGGAGTTATAATAATTACTTATATGGTGTCAGTCGTCTTGTGAGCACCAGAGAAATGCAGTCAGGCACAGGTTACTGCGGCAAGCCACGTGACTTATGGTAGTGACCCTGGATAACTTTTTCAGGTGTAGAGATGCAGGTAATAGTTTATTAAAACAAACTTGTCAGAAAAGAAAAACTCATATTCCACCCCCTAATAGACACATTTACTGCTGCTCCAGCACCCACTGCCTCTCTGTAAAACTGCTGGAACTTCCAGATATGGAGGAGTGTGGGACATTGTATGGGACATTGTGTGGGTCACTTGTCTCCCCACAAAGTAGGGCATTGGGGTCTTAGTGGTCAATCTCTAGATCCTAATTCTGTCACATGGGTGTCATTCACTTTGCAGATGTTAACAATACTGGGTATGATGGATAATTGGTAGTAAGTTTACAGGTGGGGTGCAGCTACAGGGATCTAAGTGTTATGGCAAAGTAAGAAGGTACCTAGTGCTGGTGGTGGGTAGGGGCGCTTTGTACGGCATAAATATATGGTGGTCATCATTCCAACAATCAAATGTCTTGAAGCTCCACACAAACTAATAATGTAGCAACTGGTATTGTAGGTACTCAAAAGGCTTTCCTAGGTGATCGAGGACAGTTTAGTAGATTTATTGCGCTGACATTTCAGCAAGTCACAGGCCACCTTTCTCTTGACTCTATGGGGTTCATTTACTAATAGGCTGTTCACTTTGCAAGCAAACTTTTCCCTTAGTTTTGGGGTCTATTTATAAACACTTTGCAGAACCATTTGCCCTGCAAATCTCTGTGAACATTCATCCTGTGCAAATGGAGTCAAAAATGAACATTCTTAGCTTATTTTATTTTTGGGTCGAATGCAATATTCAGAAAATACCACATTATGGACACTAGATGGAGCAGGAAACAATTATTTGGTCTGCATGTATCGTTGAAAATGTTTTGCTATATCAATTAATATAAGTGCAATAAAGAAAAACCCCATTGATCTTGCCAGAAAACCAGTGAACTGATGACTTCCTGTTCCCCTGCCAAGGTACCTTCTCCATGTTGAGGGCTTGTGGCATGGTATGGTTTGATGATGAGTGTGCACGCTTGCTGTCCCTCCCTATCCTGGTCAGCCAGATAGCGATTTTTGATAGGGGCACACTGTTTTTTTGTTGCCTAGGGTTCCCTCTTAAACACCTATACCAGATCCTTATCAAGAATAAGGGTCTGGTAAAAATTTGTGGGGGACTCCACACAGTTTTTTTTATTTTGTTTGTGTGGGGTTCCCGCCTAAAAAGCTTTGCCCAGTTCATTCACTACTAGTAGTGACATCACTAGTTTCTTCCTGCCAACAGCCCTAGCCTGCAGGCACAGATTTGCTGATACAGCATTTTACTGGCCACTTAACAAAAGTAAAACATGGAACAAAAATGTCATATATTGCATTTAGTTAAATTTGGACGTTCAGATGCATACGAATTTCCGAATGGCAAAAAATCACAAATTTGAACATATCCATATCCAAATTCAGATGCATGCGAATTTGTCCGAATGTCATTCGGAATGAACTGAGTGTTGTTAAATGCAACAATCTAAAAAAAACAGATTCATACCAGACCCTTTAGGACTGGTAGGAATTTTAGAGGGGACCCCACACTTTTTTTTGGAATGGGGTCCCCCCAAAATCCCTTACCAGACCCTTGATCTGAGCAGCTGCATGGCAGAGCAGGAAAGGAATTAGGAAAGATCGTGCACACCCCTCCTGCACCATACACGGCTCCTTGCCCTCCCATGTTGATGAGGACAAGGGCCTTTTCTCCATAACTCTGGCCTGGTGGTTGTGGGGGTTAGCGGGCTTATTTGAATCTGGGTGCCCCCGTTCATTTACATCATGGCACATTTTTTTTAATTAATAAAGAACTTGCCAAAACTGTCTGGTATGTTTACTTAAAAATAACAAAGGTTCTTTCAAACTGGGGTGGTGTGTTTATTTACTAGCTTACTGTTTATTTGGTGAACGAGTAGGGGTAACAACTACCCCTTACTCATTCACGAGAGGAGGTGGCATCTGGGTGCCTTCTTTATGAAAGGAAGCACCCAGATTCAGATAATCCCCCCTGCCAGCAGACCCCCACAACCACCGGGTCAGGGTTGTTGGCAAGACCCTGTCCCATGTTGAGGACAAGTGGCCTGGTATGGTGCAGGAGGGGGCTCCACAATTGCCCCCTCCCCCTTTTCTGCTCTGCCAGGCTACTGTTCAGATCAAGGGTTTGGTAAAGGGTAAATGGGTAAAGGGATTTTGGGGGCGACCCCACACGTTTTTTTTGTCATGGCGTTCCCCTAAAATTCCTACCAGACCTAAAGGGTAAGAATTTGGGGAGACCCCACTCTGTTTTTTCTTTTTCAATTTTCACGTTTAAAAACATAATAAACTCCATCCAAAAAGATGCGTATTGATCTGAAGTGAAAACAAAATTTTTGTTTCGATTTGAACCAAGAAAGAAAAATTTGTTCCCAATTGCGAATAACAAACAGAAACAAATTCCGGGTTCCATATCCGAAATAAGAAAACATTTAAATCTATCCAAAATGAAACAAAATTAATTTTATATTTAACAGACCAATAGGGAGCAGACAAAAGAAGTTGGTTGTTGGGGGCTTACACTTTATATGATTTTTTTTTATGCTAAACATATAAAATATGTTTAGTGTATTCCTCCTTGTTTTGTTATGTACTTGAAATATCTAAAGTATGTATATAAGTCATGGTCATCAGGGTTCTTATTTCATTTGGGTATCATGTGTTCACTCTTTGGAAAACACTGCATGCAACCTCAGCCTTGTTTTCTGCAAATGAAGTAATTTACTAAAGAGTAGAGCCTATTGATTTCTAGCTGAAAGCCTGGGATTCTCTCAGAAATCTAAGCAATGTTTTGAATAAAGCAGTCTTATTTTGAGAATCTAAATCCATAGAGACAAATTATTCCTCGTCACAGTTCAAACCGTTATAAACTGTCCTCAACAGCACACTGTTTCTTATAAAAGAAAATGTGTCTTATTGTTCTAATATTATTATTATGGGTTTAGTAAGTGCTGCAAAGGAAATAGGGCTTATTCACATGCATACAGAGGCTGCGTACAGTAAAAATGACCAGATCTCGGCACCCTGGAGCGCAAGGGTTACGTATGGCCTTCTTTTTTATGGCCATTTTTTTTTACTGAACACGGACCTTTACACCTGTGTGTCTATCTATCTATCTATCTATCTATCTATCTATCTATCTATATATATATATACTGTATTTTTTTTATATATAGTGCAATATAAATGGGTAAGCCGTATTAGTCCAGTAGACAAGATGTCAAAAAAGACAAAAACGCAGTATTGCAGTGTGCAATGATACCTTTCTTATCGGACTAACAAAATATATAAAAGACAAGCTTTCGAGAGTGAACCTCTCTTCTTCAGGTCAGAAGCAAAGTATAAGCAAATATATATATGGGGGATATCAAAAACTGACTGTTGAGATATAGAATGTTTAATTATGCAGAGATGGAAACAATGAACATACATACAGTAGCCAGCCTATAATGTTAACCTTTCATATAGTCCCATCATGTTCAATGCATTTGTGCCAACGTTTTATCCAGGACAGATAGAAAAGGTATACCGAGCACTCTTTGCCTCTCGTTTAATGCCTTGTCAACAATTTCAGTTTCTCTTTTTTTAAACTTCTTTACCCAAAGCCTAACATTGCTCACCACAATCTCATCACCTTAACCTCATAACCATACACATTCTGCAGTAGTGATGTCCATAGGCTTGGTGCAAACCCAGTCCATTGGAGTTCACCAAATCCCTTGCAAAACTGTAACTGATCACCCCCTCCCCAGCCCAATTAGTTGCGACAGGTGCATCCTAGACATGTGCGATTCGTTGCATTCTGAATCAAAATTCAGATGCATTTTCTGAAATTCGGACACATCCAAATCTCCAAATTTCATTGCATCTGAATGTGTCCAAATCCGAATTTTCGTTTCGGATCCCGTCCGAAACTGAATCGGACATGTGATTTTTCTGGCCAATCAGATGTGTTTTTCGGTTTAATGCATCCGAATGGGTCTGAGCACTAATTTTCATTATGGCAACATAGGAGCCACATACAGTACGTATAATACTAAAGCTGAGGCTCCTAGACCCGAATGGCATTTGGGATGCGAATTTCCATATTGTATTTGGGAGCTCCCGAATGCCATTCGGAAATTCGGATCCCGAATGCCATTTGGGTCTGGGAGCTTCAGTTTTAGTATTAATATATGTATATGGTTTTCCGTGTTATTAGCAACGAGTATTCATAAACTCACCCGAAACTAACAAAAATTTGGATTTCGTCCGAATCTGAAACCCGAACCGAATTGAATTTCGCATCTGAATCCCGAAATAACAAAATATCAGAACCGAACCAAATTTTTCCACAGCTTCCATGTCTAGTGCATTTCCTGTCCCACAGCAACACTTCACAAAGGGGTGGGGAATGTGTTTGCCGCAACTAATTGAGCCAGGAAGGTAGGCTTTGCACCAAGCCTACGAACATCACTACTAAGGAATGTGTATGGTAACGCACATGGACACTACTATTGTTCAGGCATGTATGGCTCTCACTCATGTATATATGGAATGCTATAATTAGAGGTATTAAACCCACACAGTTATCACTATACATTATTTTGCTATTCATCTATTTTTTTACTATAGTAGACCATTAACTTAAGTAGGGTATACACAGGTAGACTTTCAAATAAACATTCGTATGAAAAATCTTATCAGAACATTTGATAATACCATCAGAGATTTGGTGATTGCCATTTGACGTATAGTTTGATTTTCGTTTTCATTTAACATTCAATTTTGGAATGAATGGACTTTCTACGAAAACCACATCCACCTTTAAAATTTCATTAAAAAAAAACATA